GGGGGGGGGGGGGTTTCATTTGTTTTGACACCTTCTGTTTGTTTTTCGCTTTTTACTTTTCTTAAGGGCACAGACACATATCACGATGTGCAAAGCCATGTGGCACATTTACCTTTTGACATTCTGTTCTTGCTGACCTTATAACATTTTCTTGTGTGTTCAAACCGGCTTCAGCTCCAAAGATTGTGTCAACAAAACATAACTGTGTGGCACAGTGGGGAAACCAGGCGCTCGCCAAAATAATCAAATCAAAGAAACAGACATTTTTCCGTCCGGTGGCCAATTTGCTATGATTTTCTTTCTTACATTTTGGTTCAGCACCAAAGTCCACTTAGAAACACATTTTCTGTGTAGATTTTTACTGAAAACCCTCGATCAAAGGCACAGAGAAAAGGTGAATTTGCAGTTTCCAAGGACGCTCAATCTTTCGGACCCCACCTCCTTCAATTGCAAATGTCTTGACTTCTATTTAAGATGGATGAAAAGTGAATAGGCTTGAAGATGATACCAATAACTCCATTAATTAAGCCCTTTTAAACGGAAGAGGGCAAAGATGATACAAAAAACTCCTTTAATTATGCCCCTTTAAACTGAAAAGGGCTAGGATGATACCAAAAACTCCGTAATATTTTATATGCCCTTAAAATAAGAGAAGAAAACACAAAGATGATACCAATAACTCGATTTATTATGCCCTTAAACTGACGAGCACCTGACTCCACCTTGTCGTGGCAGAGTTGTTGCCGTATGTCTATTATAATTATAGCGTGGAATAATTGTTGACTTTCCTTCCAGTCCCACTCGTGCCTCCAATCAGCAAACCCGGCGGTAATGAAAAACTAACACAGTTATTCGGCACACACTGCAAGCATTGAGGTACTGGATACAAGTAACAGATTTCTTTTTCTGTAGACCCGGAGAGTATTTTTAAGATGACAGGTAAAATTACCTAGGTGTTCATTTATGAGTCCCGTTTATTCACTTGCTTTTTTATCCCTTTCTAATTTATATGAGATTGACGCCATCTGAATAGTTGAAAAGTGCGTATGATAGTGTCTAATAGCGTATTACGTGCATATTTAGTATAACACTTAACTGTACAGATAGAGATTCAGGGAATATAGATGTAAGTCTAGGATCTTAGAGCAATGATGATTTTAGAAATTATGGTGGTGATAAGCGATGATGTGGGATTGTGTTTATGTAATGTTAGCGTTAGTCCGATCTTCCTCTGCTCCAATGAGTCACGAGGGACGTTGGAACCCTCTATACACTATCCCGTTCCCTATTGAAACTATCTTTAATGTCACCGCGAAGCTCCGAAATGATGGGCACAGCCTCTGCTAAGGTGACATTGTTAGTGTTAGCCTATTCGATCGGGCCAAGACAAGGGTCGAGAGGATCTAAGTAGGTAGACAGTATAATTGCAGGTATGTTGGGGTATTCTTTAGTTTTAGTAGAGGTTTTTACGGCGCTGACAACTGCATAAGGTCATATGAGCGCCAGAAGATTAGAGGTGTTATTAGAGAGTAACAAACATAAACAAGAAGGAGGGGAGATAAGGACAATAGATGTTTGATAGGAAAGAAGAAGCAAACCACACCAGAGCACCCACCAACCACCTACGTTGGGGTATTCGTTAGCAGGTTGTACGTTGCAAGTTGACAACCAGGTTACAGGCTTTAAAAACGAAACAGAGAGAGAGAGAGAGAGAGAGAGAGAGAGAG